TACACAAACTTATCGATTTGTGTGACATCGGATTAGACGACGAATACGCTACCGCTGGCAGCCAACATGGCGGACGACGAGCAATTCTCGCTGTGTTGGAATAATTTTAATAGTAATTTGTCTGCTGGTTTTCATGAGTCGCTATGTCGGGGCGATTTGGTCGATGTGACTCTAGCGGCAGAGGGGCAATTTGTTAAGGCCCACCGTTTAGTACTCTCGGTGTGCTCGCCCTATTTTCGTAAAATGTTTACCCAAATGCCGGCCAATCAACATGCTTTCGGTAAGTGTAAAATTTCCCCTTCGCTAAGAGATTTATACATATTTATTATTTTTTTTTTTTTAATTTTTAGTTTTTTTAAAAGACGTAAGTCATACGGCACTTAAAGATTTAATACAGTTCATGTATTGTGGAGAAGTAAATGTAAAACAGGAAGCTCTACCAGCGTTTATAAGCACAGCAGAGGCTCTCCAAATAAAGGGGCTAACTGATGTAAGTATTTATCTGAAAAAAGTATACAATTACACACATACATTTTGTGTTTGGACAGGGTACGCTTTTTTTGCGCCATTTTTGTACATGCGTGTGGGCATACCTTTTCTGTATGTATACGTAGGAAACTGTACCCACCTTGCAGTATGAAGTATAAATTTGTATAGCAGACTTAAGTAATTGTAGGTATTTGGCTTCTTTGTTTGGGATATTTTTCACTCTGGTACTGTACATACATTTAGGGATTAGTTTTGGACAACATAAAAACCAATTTTTAAGACTAGAACCAGATTGCAAATGTTTGGCTGATTTCCAAAACGTATCAATACAATGTTTGGAAACTTATACTGCGGTATTTAAACGGTTTGTATATGCAGAGTTGCGACACAGGGGTAATCTCTACGTCTTGAAAAGCGCTTGCACGGTTAAAACTGGTTTTCATATGGGAGAGCTTTGCAAACCGTGCAATCCATGCAAAGTGCAAGGGCTTTGCAAGTTTAGAGAATACCCCGATTGCAACCATATACATTGCATGTTTTAAATATTCAATATTGCAATGAACAATTTTTCTGAATTTGTGTTTTTAAAACACCAGCGGTAACCAATAACTAGCGGAAAAGTATACATTGTCAACATTTTGTAGTTCTGCGTTATGGGACGTTATACTTTGTATGTATGTAAAGCAATTTACGTTTTGGAAGTCGGTCTTTGCCAACATTTTGCTTTATCGTATGCAATGCGCCAGGCTAAACTAAAAAATGTCTGCATTAACATCATTTCATGTATTTTAACTACGTTGAGCTTGTATTAGAGCTGGAGAAACATCGATGCATCGATGTTTTTATGTAAGCTGCTAACAGTGTATTTGCAAATTGCAATACTACATTCATTTGGCGCATAAATAGGTAAAATTAAGCAATTATTCGTAAGTGAGCAAAAATCTTAATAATATTTTAAAGACTAAAAACGTACCTCATTTACATGACTCAAACAATTAAACGATTGCTTACTAGTGACATTGAGTTTTTTTTTTACAAAAGGTTGCACGCATACACACGGTGCCTTTCTAAAGAAGGGGAGGGGGGAAATCTTTTATGAAAATTTGCATAAAGTTCGAAATTATAGTTTTTGTTGTTTTAGCTATAATTTTATATAGAGTTATTTTCAAGAGGCCTCCCTGTGAAGCCCTATAGTCGGAGGAGATAGGTCATTGAATTCTTTGGTCTTTGCTCTCGCATGTTATTTCTTTTTGTGCCAGCCCCAATTTCGAATTCAGTTTATAATAGTTCACATGCATCAACTGAGCAAAAATCAAATGTCGATTCTCGAATTTTTTGAATCGATTCACGTATCGAATCGGAAGAGCTCGATTAATAATCAATCTACGGTATAATAGATTTAAAAACGGTATCTGTAGTCCCATATTAAAACTGGTTATCGATACAGCTATGAAATTTTCACACAACATAGAAGAAGAGGGCGCAGTAATTTCTGCATAGTTAGCTCAATATTTGTATTGTTTTGGTTCATGAGACCTGAATGTGCGATAAGTATTTATAAGTTTATGAGGGTTTGTAAAATGTATTTGTGTAATATACGCATTTTAAGTAACATCTTTATTCTTGTAAAAACTACATGTTAAAAATGTTTCATTTAGAGCGATCCACCACCGTCGCAATCCCCAGCAGAACCTTCAACACCTACGCCCCAAATTCAGCAAATTTCCTCGCCTCGTGTTCGTCAACGTACATCAGCATCCCGTTCATTTAAAATTGAATCGGTGGAGGACTCTGGAGATGATAAACAAACTCAAATAGTTATTCAAACAACTTCAGCTCCTCCTGCGCAGCAAGTAGTTACTCAACCACAAACCCAACATCTGCAACAGACTCAAAGTCAAACGCATATAGCACCTCAGCAAATTGCAAGTACCACCACCGCCGCTACTACCACTGTTGTTACGCATAAGCGACCAGCGCGTAGCATTGGAAGTGGACCCCACATCAAACGCACCAAAAGTACAATTGACCCCCTAGACACATCTGATCCGTCGACCGGGGCCCAGCAAATTACTGTACAAACAGCTGTTGTAGCTGCCCCTGCACCGGAACCTAAGGCACAAGTTCAACAACAACAACCTGAACCCGAATATATTGACTTGCCAATAGAATTGCCCACAAAATCAGAACCGGACTATGCGGAAGAGGCCGGAGACGTAGAAGGAGGGGAAAATGAGACCACATATGTAGAAGATGATTCATATGGGGAACTACGGTATGATGAAAGCTATTTCACGGAAAACGATGAAGCACCTACGGGTGCGACGACGGGGCAAAGTAGTAATGTGTCTGGCGGTGGTGCGAATGCAACTACATCAAAGGCTTTGGTGAAACAACAACAATCATCATTCTCAGACAATTCGTACGTGGACGTGGCGGATCAGGCGAACAGTGACGCACAAGGTTGGTTGAATACTAATTTATTTTGTAGCTTTAAGATAATGGTGCAAGCTTAACTGAATTATTTTCTGAAACGATACACTTGTTAAAAATTCAAAATTAGCAGCTAATTGGACTAATTTAGTTCTTCATATGAACGTAAAATGTCTAGTGTACTATTCCACGCATTTAGAATATAAGCAATGAAAAACATAAGTGTTTTCAGTAGAATGGATCAGTTGAGCTTGCTTCCATGTTGCATGAAGTCAGCTTAACAAAGGTTGGTCGCAATAGAACCGTAAATAAGCCTTTTTTAAGATGTGCTTGCGGCAACGAAATCTTTAGTATAATTATACGTATATGAAGCTTTCCGTCCGTATTTTACGTACAATATAAAAACAATTGCATCTACTTTATTGAACGATGCAACGGTCGTGGTTCGGTTCACCTTAACTTATTTAAATTGTATGTGCATGAAAAGTGGCCTCGTAAAGATTTTAATGAGTGCAATCAATATATGTGTGCATATTCATTACAATAATTATGTGTTTGTGACGCATGTTTTATAATAATAATTTATTGGTGAAAATAAGAGTGGATTTTTTTATACATAATTTTATGTGAGAACTTGAAGAATTTGGGTAAGCTAAAACAATTTTTGGTAATACATATATTAAACGATTAAGTCAATTCATAATTGCTTGTACATCATTTAGTTAAACGCATTAAAAGCTGCAAACAAAACGAAATTCCTTCAGAATTTAATAACGACGAATCTGTAGCTCGTTTCTGTAACTTCTCTACCGATTATTTCTCTACTGGTAGAGAATATACGTCTCTCTACTAATTAGCAGTAGAGAACAGGGCGGCGAATTCATACATGAATGCGCCTTGGAAGAGAAAAGTTACAGAAACGAGCTAGTGGATTGGTCCCTAAAATAATTTGTATACTGAAAATTTAGAAATGCATGATAAATTCCTAATAGGGTGTTCACATGAGGCGATTTTGCAGGCAACTTTTAGTTGAAACGGCCATTCGAATCGCTTACGACGAAGTCAGTCGGCAATTTTTAATTCAATATTAATCGCCTTATGTTAACGCTGCATAAGACAAGGCGAACTTATACAAGGTGGTGTTGCTTGAATTCGTCGCGGTCCTCCAGAATATAGGGCCTGTTCGAGGCACGTAATAAAAGCGGCATTACTGCCGTACGGATGAAAATTGGCAACATTGTTGCAACTGCTCAACTGATAATACATTGCTAGAAATTCACGAGAATTGCAACTCGAACAAGCCCATACAAATGATGTGTTTGTTGTATTCTTGTGGTAATTGCCGTCATACAGTGTTTGCATGAGGCAGCGTTTAGTTGAAAGCAACAATCGCCTGGTGTGAACGGCCTTCGCTTCCAATGAAGTGCGCCTCATGCGAATACCGTATTAAGGTGCGTATAACTTGTAATTTTTATTCATGTCTACTACGGTATCCGACGGATGCCATCGGCCAATGAAAGTAAATCTATAAGAGACAACACGCTATAATTGTAGCGAGTGTGAACATCAGGAGCGTGCCTTCTCTTTTGCTCAAATACGTTTTTAGACTGGATGAAAAGAGAAGGCACGCTCCTGGTGTTCACACTCGCTACAATTATAACGTGTTGTCTCATAGATTTACGTTCTTTGCATCGGCGCGGATCTAATCTGATTCGAAACTGTCAACAAGGGAGTGAGACGAATTATATTCATGAGAATGTCATCCCTCGGAAACATACTGTTACGATTATCCTCGAAACCTTGAGGGATTACCCAAATATACTCG